GACTTTCGACTTGGATGTCTTAATGAAATATACCTATTTCGGGTCCGACTGCCAAGCGCGCGCGCGAGTGTGTGTGTGTGTGTGCGGGTTTGAGGATTCGTGAGAACTCACCGTCTCCTCGTCGCTGGCAAATGGCTGGCGCTGCTCCTCTCCAGACATGATACTGCGTCCGCGAAGATTCCGAGATCGGGGGAAAGAGAAGGGGAAAAATGGACCTGACCAAAACTGTTACGGTTACCAGGTCAGAGGGCTTGGAAACATTATTTAAAATAAATACCTACAGAATGACACTGACGCAGTCGGTTTAAACATGAGGGACGGAGCGGGGATGTCCGTCCACACCAAAACTATTTTTGTTTGTGCTGTAGCCTGTCCGATGAAAAGACACGCTTTTCTTACGGATGACTTGAGACAGATGGCACCCATTGTTAATGTTATCGAGCTACCGTTCCCGGTCTTGTATCAGTTTGTCCCATTTACATATCAATATCCGTAAGAAAATAGTTCCGCCCGACTCATATCGAGCAATATTCTGGCCTCTCTAAGAAAAATGCCCTTCCACACCAATATATAACGTTGAAAAAAGTTTTGCTCGAAAAGACAAAACGGGGTTGTCACTCGTTTAGAGGGCACTCTTCGGGAGAAGTAGTCCCGGCCTAATTCCGTAGAAATAACACTTGCAATCGGAAACAAAAAAGGAAGCCGATTAAAAAAATAATGTGGGAAATATTCTAAACTTGAAGTAAGGAAAAAAAATTATCGAAGACAGCTTTTTTTTTACTCGACTTGTGTTTTTGTTTCTGACTACAAGTCTTAGTGTTATTTCTGTGGTGTTAAGCCGGGACCACTTCCCTTGAAGAGTGCCGTTTAGAGAATCTAGGTTAAAAGTAAACGGGATCGAAAGTTATTCGACAAAAAATCTAGGCTTATGCTTTTGTGTCGGACGAGCTGCGAAAAATTTCCCAAACTGAAATGACGGTTCGAGGTCTCCACTTTTTAATTCAAGAATCGTTCGCGTTTCTTACTCATGGAATACTGACTTCAAAGTAGTTAAGACATAAATTTACAAATTACAGGGTTTTTTAAAATCCCACAAGGGTATTACTGTTGAGTCTAAACTCACTAGATTGTAGATCTAGATTTCTAGATCTAGGCCTACTCACTTAGTCACCCGAGCCCCCAACTTTTAATTAGTTAAAACCGTTCGGCTCACCGTGTGACATTTCCAATCAAACACTAAACAACCCTAGATCTAGCATTAAGCATTGCCATTATAGTCATTTGTTAGTGAATGGCTTTTGTGTCGGACGAGCTGCAAAGAATTTCCCAAATTGAAATGACGGTTCGAGGTCTCCACTTTTTAATTCAAGAATCGCTCGCGTTTCTTACTCATGGAATACTGACTTCAAAGTAGTAAAGACATACATTTACAAATTACAGTTTTATTGATCCCACAAGGGTATTACTGTTGAGTCTAAACTCATTAGATTTTAGATCTAGATCTAGGCCTACTCACTTAGTCACCCGAGCCCCCAACTTTTAATTAGTTAAAACCGTTCGGCTCACCGTGTGACATTTCCAATCAAACACTAAACAACCCTAGATCTAGCATTAAGCATTGCCATTATACTCATTTGTTAGAGAATGCCATTCTAAGTCGGTAATGATAATAATAGTAACAGGAAGCTTACTTGGTTGACTAAGCGTTCGGCTCACCGTGTGATATACAATCAAACTCTTTTCTAAACAACCCTAGATTTTGCTCTACAAAGTGCCCAGCTGAGATAGATCTAACATTGCCATTAGATCTAGAATCTAGATCTAGTCATTAATTAGTGAATGCCAATACTCGGTAATAGAGGAAGCTTAAATTTGTTTTACTAAATTAGTATTAGTAATTAGGGTTAGGCTCACTGTGTGCTATTCCCATCAAACCTCAAACAAACTTAGATTTAGCTCTACAAAGGCCAGTACATTGCATGCAGTTCCAGTGGACATTAGTTAGTTATAATAAGTTAGGGACTACTAAGAAGGAGAGGCAAGCCTAGGCCTAGGTCTAGATTCTAGGTCTAGATCTGGTCTCTCTCTCTCGGGAGACTCTCTGAGTCTTGTTTGGTTCTACACGATACAACGTAACAACATCTAGAGTCTAGATCTAGATCTATAGTAGCCTACACTGCCCAGCTTTAAGCTACAATAAACCACCACAGCCATCTGATCATTACCTTAGGTTCTGAATTCAGATCAACAAGGCACAGACAACACGTTCGCTACTGTATGCAGTTTCGCTTTCGAATCAGAGACAACGCGGCTTCCGCTTGGCAAATGTTTATGTTTTTCCTAATTTCTGAGCACAAACGAGGGGTGGTGTGCAATCAACCTAAGAAAACCGAGACTGACCGCAAAAGACCAAGCGAGCTAAATTATAAGAGAGAGAGAGAGAGAGAGAGAGAGAGAGAGAGAGAGAGAGAGAGAGAGA